CTGCCCACTTGGTGGCCTGTCCCCGACAGGGCTCTGCTCGCGCGTCCTGTGTACGACGAGGTGGAAGATGCCCTTCCCCAGGGCTGCCTTTCCCTGACGGTGCTTCACTCGGCTCTCTGAAACGCAGCTTTTTCCCCGCTCTCCCCGGGGTGGGAGCCCAGCCCCCGAGCTCCTGCAGCGCTGCTCCCCCGGCATAAGCTCGCTGTGATTTGTCCTTTGCTGCTTTCGCTCGTTCTGAACCCGCTGGCGCCGCGTTTCGAAGCGCTGGGCTGTGCTTTGGTGCTTGTGACCCCCCACGTCCTCCAACCGAGCCGTGCCATGGGTGCAACGTGGCTGTTCCTGCTCCCCGGGGACAGTTTGGGACTTGTCCCTCCGTGTCCCTGCTCGGGGGGGCTCCATGATCCCCCGTGTAACCCCCCCAAGGGGTGCTGGTGCAGGTTTGTGCTCAGAGAGGACGTGGTGGCTGCGTGAGGTTTTAGTTTCTTAGGCGTATGCAATAACGAATAACCTGCCCCCCCGAGCTGTCCGTTACCAGCAGTAGTGCTCTCTGCTCTTTCCGTTGATGTTTACTAATGTAAATCCAGTATTTGTTACTGTAATAGGATTTTTTTTTTTTGTACGGTACTTTGAAAAAACCCACGAAAACGACAAAAAAAAAAGGAACAAAAAAGAGGAAAGAAATAAACATTGTTAATGACCCGGCTGCTGGATTGCTGGGGGAGGGTGTTACGTGGGGAGCGGGGGCGTGAGGGCGGCAGTTCCTGGGCTGGGTGCAGGATATGACCCATCCTGCGAGTGGTGCCAGGACTCTCCTCCCCGGTTTTGCAGGGCCGGCGCACGTGAGGACCAGCCCTGGGCTCGCCAAGGGGCGAGAAACGGCCGGAAAAGGCGTCTCTAAACAGCGGGGAAATGCGAGGTTCCTCCGCACTCAGCCCCGGAGCTGGGCTCGGGGATGGCTTGGGCAGCACCCCCTTCCTGTACCCGGAGCTGCCACCCCCGGGGGGCTCCAGCACCAGCACCGCCCCGGGGGGGCTGCGCGGGGGCTCGGCAGGGATCCAGCCCCTTCCCTGCTCGGGAAACACCAGGCGTGGGCTGCCCCAGGTCGGGTTTCAGCCCCAGACGCGCCGCAGCCCGCGGGAAGCAGCAACGGCTGGCGGGGCTGTGACCCCGGAGCTCCAGCTCAGCCCCGGGGGGGACAGCAGGGACGGGGTGGCCGGAGCCCCACGTGAGGCGGCAGCGTCACCGCAGAGGCGGGAAGGGCAGGAAGGGCGCAGGAGGCGGGCGCAGCCGAGCTTTAAAAAGTCCCTTGCTGGGACGGGCTCGCTTCCGCGTCACCCCGGCGTCCCCATGGCCCCCACGGTGCCGCTGCCTGCCCTGGCGCTCGTGGCCCTGGTGGCCCTGGTGGCCCCGGGGCTCGGGGTGGCCCCCGGCTGTGACCGCCCTGCCCACCTCTGGTGCAGCTCGCCGGAGATCGCCGTCGCCTGCCAGGTCAGAGCCGCGGGTGTCAGGGCTGCCCCACGCAGGGGAGGGTCATCCCACACGTGGGGACGTGTCCTGCCTGCCCGGCGGCGGGGATGAGGACGCGGGGACGGGGTTGGGGCATCACCTGGCCACGGTACCTGGAGCCAGTGGCGGCTCCGAGCGCTGCTGTGGCACAGGTGGGCACAGCGCGGGGATACTCAGAGCTCCCGTGCCACACCGGCATCCCTGGGGAATTGCTGTGCTCCAGCCGGATCCTGACCCTGGACCCTCCCTGTCCGCCTCCGGCACTTCTACTTTTTAAGCATAAAACGGCTTTTCAGCTTGTTCCTGCCGCGAACAGCCCCAGGCGGTGACAACTGTGTGACGGTGGCTCTGGCAGTGCCCTGTGAGCCCCGCGGGGCTGCAGCCACCACCCGGCAGTGGGTGCAGGGCTGTACCCCCACCCAGGCGTGTCCTGGCCTAAATTTGTTTTCCTCTGAAACAGTTTGGGGAAGTTCTCGTGGAAAACCCCAGCGCTGGGTTTCGGCCACTCACAGGATCCTGCGGCTGCCTGAGGCCCCTGGCCGCTCTCACTTCCCTCTAGCCCTGCACACCCTCATCCCCCTTCTGCCCCACACCTCAGGAGCTTTGCCCCCTGCAAATATTGGGGGTCTGCAGCTGTATCCCCCCTGTGCACCCCAAAACCTCCCCGCACGCAGGTGGAGAACCGCTGCCCCAACCTCCCTCGCCCCGTGGCTGCCCCGGTGGAGCTGAGCCTGTACTATGAAAGCCTGTGCCCAGCGTGCCGTGAGTTCCTGGTCCTGAAGCTCTTCCCCACCTGGCTGCTGCTGCCCTCGGAGATGCTGAACATCACCTTGGTGCCCTATGGCAATGCCCAGGTAGGATCTGGCCGAGCCGGTGCCGCGGGCACTCGCCCCGGTGCCACCGGCCCCGCTCAGACCGGTTGGTCTCGCAGGAGAGGAACGTCAGCGGGAAGTGGGACTTCCAGTGCCAGCACGGCCCCGAGGAGTGTTTGGGCAACATGATCGAGGTGATGGTCCCTGTTCCCATGGTGCTGGCATGGGGGGGTCCAGTGGCCCCGTACCACCCACTCTGTTCCCATAGGCCTGCCTGATGCACGAGGCCAAGAACTTCAGCACCTACTTCCCCATCATCTTCTGCCTGGAGTCGGGCAGCTCCGTCACCAAGAACCTGGAGGCTGTATGTCCCCTCCCCCGTCCCTCATGCCCTGCTGTGGGGATGTCCCTGTGTCTCATGCCCTATAGGGACATCCCTGTCCCCCTGAGTGCCCCGTGTGTCCCCTCTCCTGGCAGTGCCTGCAGATCTATGCCCCAGAGCTGGACAGGGGCCGTATCGCCGCCTGCGTGCAGGGGGACACAGGGATGGCCCTGATGCACCAAAACGCCCAACTGACTGAGGCACTCGACCCCCCACACCAGTTTGTGCCCTGGATTGTCATCAATGGGGTATGGCGGGGGGACCAGTGTGCCAGGCAGGGCTGGGGCACCGTGGGGACCCCCCTGAGCAGCCCCATCTCCCCCCACAGAAGCACACAGATGAGCTGCAGGCACAGGCAGAGGCCTCGCTGCTGGGACTGGTTTGCCACCTCTACCAGGTGGGACAGGGATCTGGGGGGACAGTGGGGCTTGGGGACATGTCCCTGTCCCTGCTGGGCCTCTACTGGCCACTCTCTGGCAGGGGGAGAAGCCTGAAGTCTGTGGGAGCTCAAAGGCCCCGAAGATCCCACTGGGCTGCAGGCGCTGAGGGACGTTGTGGGAGCACCAAGGGAGAGGCCAATAAAAAGGATATTTTTTTGAAAAAAACAAGTATCTGGAGTGGTGTTTTGGGGGGAGCAGGCAGCGGGTGGTCCTGCCCCACCGTGGTGCAAGGGGGAGGGAGCTGGGCATCAGGGCAATGGGACTGCCCTCTTCCTGCACCCAGGGCATGTGACAGGATGTGCCTGGCTCTGCCAGGGAATCACCTGCTCCTGGGGATCACAAAGGAGCCCCTTCAAGATTTCCATGGAAATCTGCTACACCCCTCCCTAAGGAACAGAACATTTGCTCTCTCCAAGCCCTGGGAAGCAGCTCTGATGTCCTTCTTTCTCCTTACACATTAACCATTTCAGCAGCTCTGTGGGCCAAGACCATCCCAGCTCCTACCAGTCCTTCTCCATTCCCAACCAGCAAATCTAGGACAGTGTCTTTCCTGATGGCTCCCTGAGTACTTGAGACAAGAAGTTCTCTCCCACAAACTTGAGGAATTTCCCAGACCTGCTGGCCACAGCAGGAGGCCATTTCCAGCTGGGGGCTGGGAAACTGAAATCCACCGTAAGGACAAGGACTCCCAGTCCAGAGAGTTCTCCTCACTACCTACGGAAAAATCCTCAGTGCTGGGAGATGGACACCATCTCCTACTGCAGCCTGTGCTCGTTTTCCACCCCTTTCATCCTCACCCAGAGGCTCCCAACCACATCATCCCCAACTGTGGGGACTGTTTCAATCCTCTCCCTCACAAAGGGTGACACCTTCCCCTCTCCAGCCCTACCCACCTCTCCTGAACAGCCAGGACTGTCCATCACAGCACTCCAGGTGTGGGACTCATCTACTAATCCTGAGGACATCCCAGCTCTGGGAGCAGACCAAAGGCACTTGCACAGGCAGCCCTCAAAAGCTACCTGTAGGGGGTCAGGGGCACTCCATCTCCCCCTAACTCTTCCCCTCTCCAAGAGGAGCTCTTGGGGCAGGGAGGACACAGTGAGCCCCATCCTGGGAGATGCCAGGGAGCTCAGCCAGGCAGAAGGAACCGTGGCCCTGCCGCCACAGCAGCTCCCAATACATGGTCCTTGGGCCCCTTGAGTCCTTCAGCCCTTGGGGCTCCCCAAACTCTTCTAGTCCTGAGGTGGGGTCCAACCTGAGCGCTGCAGCCAGAGGATGCTCTGGTGGGGGCAGGAGCAGAGGTGACCAACAACCACCAGTCCTGTCCCTCTCAGGTTGAGCCAAGCTGTGCCACCTGCCCTGGGCACACCAAGACCCCACCTGCAGCACACCTACCCACCAATGTCCCCCCCCCAAGAATGACAAGGGAGGCAGACAGGGACCCTCCTGCCCTTGTCTGCAGCTCAGGCAGCAGCAAGACCAGGAAGGGGGGAAAAAGGTATAATTAAAAAAAAAAAAAAAAAAAAAAAAAAAAAAAAAAAAAAAAAAAATCACACCACCAGCCAGAGAGTGCCTGGAAAATTCATCTCTCTTTATTTGCCCATTTCCCATCCAAAACCTGGACCCCATCCTAACTCTGGGCCCCAGGCAAGAACAGTCCCACTGGCATGAGCACAGCACAACTCCTGCTGCTGCTCAGCCTCTCACCTCGAGCATCGTCCTTGTCCCAAAACTTCCGTCCCCTGGAGCAGCTGCACTGCCAGCGCCCACAGCTCTTGGGGCCACGGAGAAATCTTCTGCTCGAGAGAAGGAGGGAAAAGAAAGAAAATAACAAGCCTCAACCCCAAATGCAAAGGAGCCTCAGCGCCGGAGGACAAGCTCTCCGCTCCCAAAGCTGCTGCCAAAGCCTTTCGTGTCATCGGGGCTGTGGGGCAGGTGAAGGACCCCATCCCACAGGCTGAGGGGCTTAGACACCCACTTTGGTGTCAGGGGATTTCCTGGAGGAGGTTCAATATCAGGAGAGGGGCTTCTGCTCCAGGGTCCCCAGGCACCTGTGGTGCCCCCCCAGCCACTGCAGGGGCTCTTGGTGCTGCCGCGGGGGCTGTAGCAGCTGCTGGTTCCCAAGCCCAGCCCAAGAGGAGGGAAAACCTTGCTGCTGGTGAGGAGTGATCCGGTGAAGGCGCTGAAATTCCCAGGCTTGAAGTTGCTGCCAGGCCAGGCAGGTGCCACGGGGTCCTCGTTCAGAAGAAGGGACAGCGGCCCCGAGGCATCATCTGACCCTGGAGAGCTGCAGAGCAGGGAGTCCTCGTGGCTGTAGGGGAGGCTCAGGGCAGCTCCCTGCACCTTCCAGCCTGGCTGATCCACCAGCTCCTCCACCACCTGCCTCTCTTCCCCAGGTTTCCTCCTGTTCCCCTTCCCGCACAGCCGGACCACCTTGATGCCACTGTCACTGTCACGGTGCCCGAGGTCCTCGAAGGCCCTACAGGCGCTGTCCAGGCTCTCGTACTCCACCAGGGCACAGCATCTGCTCAGCAGCTCGGGGAACTTGGCTGAGTATCTCCTCACGTCCGAGGGCAGCTTTCGGCCTGGCCGCAGGACGCGGATGGACGCAATGGCTCCGAAGGGGCTGAACATCCTCAGGATGATCTCCAGGAAGTTCTCCTGGAGCAGTGGCAGCAGCAGTGGGTCCTGCTCCCGGGGCTGCAGCTCCCAGGCCAGCAGCAGTTTGCTGGGGGGGATGCTCAGCAGGGCCTCAGGGATGGGCACCCGGCGCCTCACTTTGGTGCCCTCCTTGTTCACCTCCAGCAGCTCCGAGAATTTCAGGGCATAGAGCGTGAGCTGCCAGTCACGTGTCAGGTACTTCACCTGGGGGAGAGAGGGGGCTGCTGCATGCCTGTGATCTTCTCAGGCAGGGACCACCCTAAACCCATCATCCAGGCAGGCTGCAACCTTATCAACACAAAATCACGGCAAGGCAATGTCCCCCTTCCACATGAGCGGCCTTGGGGTCTGCAGGAAGTCCCCAGTGTCCTCGGGGCTGTGGCAGTAAACCTCAGCTTCCCCATATGTCACACCACCAGCACTTGCCTGGGTTTTTTGCTTAAGAGATGATCTTAAAGCAGCCTGGGGGAGTCATGGGTGAATCCAGCCCCAGGGGTGGTTTGGGGACTGTTCACTGCTCCCCCAGCCACCCTCCCTGCAGGGCATTGAAGTCAGAGAGAGAAGCCCGCTCTGCATCATCGGGGCTTTGCCAGGAACAGCCTGAGGGGAGTCTGGACCTCCCTGTACACTCCACTGGAGACAGCAGAGCACACCTGGACATCTTCCACCCTTCCCACTCCTCCCCAGGTTCCCTACCTTCTTGAAGGATGTCAATAGTTTGATGCTGACAAAGCCCATCTTGTTCTTCTGGACGTGTTTCAGGAGGAAAGCGTCCCTGGCCAGGTTCTCATCGGACAGGTAGAATTCCACCTGAGACACGATCCTGCGGACCAGCTGTGGGTCAGGGAGGGAGCAGCTGCGGTCCAGCAGATCAGAGCCCAAAGCATCACTCGGGTCACGGACCCTTCTGGCAGAGCTGTGGGGACACAGGTGTGAGGTGGGTGGTGCCTTTGGGACATGCAAAGTGTCCCCAAGGGCTCAGCCACGACGGTGGGAGAGTAGAGGCACCAGGGACACCCAGGGCCACCCGCTTTGCCCTGGCTACAGGGAACAACACCAGCCTGTCCCCTGCAAGCCTCCCCAGGCTGGGAGAGCCAGACCATGAACTTAAACATGTTCCAGCCAAGGGACACATTCCCTTGGGGATAAACATAGGGAAAGACCAGGGCTCAGCCCCCCCCTGCACATCCCAACACCACGTACCCGTCGAAGCTCTCCAAGGCGTCCTCCTGGCTGAGCAGGGCGAGTGAGCGGCTCCGCGGGGGGAAGAGGTGCTGTGCCAGGAAGGAATTTCCTTGCACCGGCCCTGGAGTGTTGCATCTGGGCCGGGAATCGAGCCCTGAGGCCACCCCTGAGCTGCATGATGACATTGTCCTTGATCTAGGACATTACACAGGAGAAGGACAGCGCTGGGACACATCCTGACCCTCACCTGAACCCTGCTCGGGGCTGCAGCCCCCAAGCCCAGCCCAGGGAAGGGGGAGTGGAGACAGCTGGGTGTTGTCTCCTTACCTGCTTGGCAGCACTGGGAAGGGTGGAAAGACTTAGCAGTACATTCCAGATACCCAGAGGCAGCAGATCCCAACTCTCCCCAGCTCCAAACTGAGGCTCCCAAAACACAAAGCCAAAAAAATTAAATACAAAAAAAATTTAAAAAAAAAAATTAAAAAAAAAAAAAGGAAAGAGAGAGGGAACCCCTGCTGTGGGGAGGCTGTGGGTTTATAAGCATAACCACCCTGAATGAGTTGTAGGGGTGGTTGTGGATCTGCCCCCAGACCCATCGGCTCCAGGTGAAACCTGTTTGTGGTTAAACTGCCCCAGCTGAGCCCTGGGACCAACCAGGCTCCTCCTGCCTCGGCTGTAGAGGCAGGCCAGGGGCAGCAGGAACAGGGGCAGCAGAATCTGTCCCCTCTGGTACCCAGGGGGACAGTGAATTGATGCCACGAGGCCTCTCGGGCATTGCCTCAGTTTCTCTGCCTTGTGCACGATCAGGAACAGCCATGGGGAGGTGGAGGGAGGAAGATTCAGCCCAGGACATCGATTTTGGCTCTCAGTGCTGCCAGAGTGACTGGCAAAGGTCCTTCTCCCTTCAGAAACACCTCCCACCCCAGTGAGGGAGTAGGAGAGCCCCAGGAATGGGGCAGGGTGTGGGCAGGGTGTGGGCAGGAGGGGGGGGAGGATGGCCCAGGGCTTCAGGACAATGGGGAAGGAGCTCTGGGATGAAACATCACTGTGGTTTGAGCCCCGTGTTGGGCAGGGTGGGAGGGTGAGGACACATGGGGATGAGAACAGGGGGGTCAGAGCAGCAGGGGCTGGGGCAGGTAGGGGGGTGATACTGGGCTGGGAATGATACCAGGGCTTGAAAACTTGGAAGTGTCACTGGCAGGGGTGATGCTGGGAGCCCGGCCCAGCTGACCCTCACTTGTGGGTCCAGACAGGGCTTTGGGTGATGTTTCTGTGCCCTGTGACCACATGGACCAGCCAAGGACTCTTCTGGCACAAGGTTAAGATGCTGTTTCAGTCCGAACGAAAGAGAAATAGCAAGTAAAGAACAGAAGGTGCCTCTGGCGCCTGGTTTCAAATGCGTTTTGGTTTCCATTTGGAGAACTTTGTATCATCTCACTTTGCAAGTGCCTGTGTCCCAGAGGCTCTCCAGATGTAGGTGCCTGTTCTCTGATGCCTCAGTGAGGCACAGCCAAGGCTGTGGGTAAAATCCAGGTGTGCCAGTGCCAGACCATGAAGCTAAACCCACCCCAGTCAAGGGACACATTCCCTTGGGGACAAACAGGAGGCAAGCCCAAGGCTCATCCTGCCTGCACGTACATGTTGAAGTTCTCCATGATGTCCTGGCTGTCACCAGACCAGCAGCATCTCCCAGGCTGGTGGCCTTGCAGCTTCCCCATGCAGGGCTGCTCCTGATAAATCCCTGGGCTGTGCTGCACTGTGGAGCTTGAAGCTCATCCTTTTGGGATGAGTCATAGGGACTGGCAATGTCCAACTGCTTCTGGAACGTTGCACCCCTCTGATTTCTCTGGGGTTGGTGTCAATCCCTGCCATCTCCCCTTCTCCTGCCACCTCCTGGCATTCTCTGCTGGTTGGGAAGAGATGGAAGAGAAAGTCCTGGGATGCTTATGTTGAAATCTCTCTGGATTTGCCCACCTTGGAGGGGTGATGGAGCCAGAGGTAGGCTGAGGATGGGGGGCTGTGTGTACTGTGAGGAGTATTTTGAGCTGTGTTTGCTCTCCACCTGCAGCTCAGGGTCGGGAGGTGCTGCCCAGTTCCCCTGGGGGAAATAACCCCCTGCTTCCAGCCCTGAGGCTCAGTATCCAAAGGAAGAGACTCTGGCTGGTCCAGCCACCCCTGCAAGACTGGGCATAACCCAGAGGGAGGGGGAAGCAAGAGCACAAGGGTGAGAGGCTGAGGCTAAACCTTCCCCCTCCTGAGGGATCTGAGCAGGAATGATCCAGCACTTGTCACATCCCTGTCTCGCTGTTCCCATCCTTTCACTTAGTCTGGAAGCATAATTAAAACATGCTTCCTACGGCCCAATGCTCAGCTTGATCCCTCAGCCTCTCCTCCCCTTTGGGAGTGTAATGGGGAGTTATCCCTACACAGCAGCTGCTGCTCCATGGGGATCCTGCCTTCCTGCAGACACAGGATCCCTGCCCAAAACTGCTGTAAAATACCCTGCACTGGGCAGCTCCTTGCATCTCTCCAAAGTGCTGCAGCATCTCCTGATATCTCCTCTCAGGGAACACAGAAGAAATGGGACCACAACACTCCTTGTACAGGCCTGAGCATTGGATACATGTTTATTGCTATTCAGGTTAGGCTTGGAATTCTGTGCATGGGGTTTAGGTGGTTCCTCAGACTCCTCACACGGTGCTGCAGATCTCCAGAGCATCTTGTTTGCAGGTTGGGGTCCCTTGGTGAAAGAGCCAATGTTCCAGCTGAACTTCCCACCACCCTCAGTGGGAACAGGGGAGTTAAGACTTGGTTGCTCAGCTGTTTTTTTGAACCCTCTTATCTCATCAGCAGGATCCAAAACACTGGACTCTGACTCCAGGAGTTCTGGTTGTTATTTACATTTAAATTTGCCTTTCTCACTTCTCTCCTTCTCTCATTTCACTCCATTTCCATATGAGACGCTTACAGACAACGATAATAGCACGGGACAGTCAGAGGGAAAATGTGCCACTACACACACTTTGGTTTCACTGGCCATTTCTAATGTGTTTTAAAGTGTCACAGCTACCTTAGTACTACTGGGAACGAGGAAATAAAGAGATTTGGACAGAATATACTCTGCTATGCAAATGTACACGAGACCCCTGGAAAAGCTCACACCAAATACTGCATCATTAGAAACCATAATAATAAAAGCTACTTATGACACGGCCTTTATTCACAGAAAGATTTGCCCCGGGGCTTTGTTTTTGCAGTTTGGCTTGATGATACCCCCCCCCTCCTCTGCCCTGTAGCCCACAACACCCCAGTGCAGTCCACATCATCCCAGTGTAATCCACCTCAGCACAGACCCCACAGGACATGGAAAGGGAGAAGAGACCCTACTGAGCTCCCCTGGCTCAGCCCCACAGGAGCCACCGGGAAAAGGCAAAGGGATTTAGAGAGGGGAAATGTCACCAGAGTGCTGAGCTCCCCTGGGTCCATGACAGCCCCTCATGACATGAGATGAGCTGTTGGATCAGTCTTAGCTGTGCTGGCTCTCCTGGAGCTGGGGGGAAGCAGGAACATGGCCCATGCTAAGGCACTGTGGTCACATCCCCTCGCCCTGCTCCGGACACGGCTGCACCTCCTTCAGCATTACAGCTGGACATGGAGTGGGAATTTCACACACCCCAGGACGTGGGGCCAGTGCCCCTCTGCCTGGGCACCCTGGGGGATAGGGGTGCCATGGGATTGTCACAGGATTGCCCACAGGCAGTGAACACACTCTGCAACCGGCTGCCACTTCCTTGGAGTCCTTTGGTATCTTGAGTTGGCCTGACGGTGTCCCGGGAGCATTCAGGGATCAGTGGTGAAATGCCAAGCTGGGGAGACATGGGAGCAGGTGGGAATGCTCGTCCTGTAGTCCCAGAGCACTCCTGTGTCCATCAGGATCAGAGGGATGTGCAGCCTGGAGTGGGTACAAGAGAGACCAACTGTCCTGTCCTCTGCGGTGCAAGTGATTTGGCAAAGCCAGAGCCAGGACAGCTTGTCTGGAAAGGCTGCAGGGGAAGCGTCAGGTATTTTTCCTTCCTCTCGGGCACTGATTGGTTCAAGTTCGTATCACAGTGAAGTCTGAGAAGTGAGGAAGGAACCCAAACCACCTTCCCTGAAGGAGAAAGCCTCACTTGTCTGTCTCACTCTGGCTGGGGAGGGAGGACAGGCTCTCCCAGCCAGGCACATCCAATCTGCTGCTGACCACGGAGGCTTCCATCCCTTGGGAGCAGACTCTGGAGCTTCTCCCTCCAGACAGCAGCCACATTGGAGGGAAGAGGGTGGCCAAACCAGCCCCATCCCAGCGCCTGCCCTGGCGCTGGGATCCATCCTCGAACACAAGTAAACATGAAAGAGAAACTAAGAGGCACTAAGAACGCAGATCTGGGGAGGCTCAGGCTTGGGACCATCCAACCTGGCTCTGGATGTCTTTGTCCAGCTGGAGAGGAGCTGTGTGCCTGGCTCAGATCTCCTGCAGGGAGTGGCCGGGGTCGCTGCGCTCCCGCTTCACCAGTGGCTCCCCCACGGCCCGGTCTGTGTCCACCTCAGAGCCCAGCTCACTGATGTCATCTGCAAGGACATGGCTCAGCATCAGAGAGGGGACCAGAGGGAAGGGGAGCTTTTTCCCAGCAGAGCAGGCTGGAAGAGCCAGCACAAAGATCCCCCTCCCACCCTGACCCAGAGGACTTCCCTCGTGTACCTTTGTCCAGCAGTGTTGGAGACAGGGATGTGAGGTCACCAAACTGAAAGAAAAGGGAGTTACAAGGTCAGTGAGGCTTTGCAGACCCAAAGTGCCAGACCTGCTCAATGGCCTCAGTCACCAAACAGTTCCAACAAAGAGCTTAAGTGCCCAGGAGAGACCATGAGCATCAGCAGTGCTGGTGATGGAGAGCAGAAAGCAAAACCAACCACATGTTTGGGGGGGGGGAGGGGAAAGCCTCTTGTTGCCATTTAAACTACCCCTTCCCCCCCAATCCAGGGGAGTATCAAGCTCTAGACCAGAGGGAGAAATTTTTCCATCTCCCAGGTGATGTCAGAGTGCAAAGGATGCGCTTTTTCTCCAGCCTTTTGCATCTTTTGGGCAATGCCCCTCTCCTGCTCTCCCTTCACTCCATCTCTCTGCAAAGCCTTTGCAGTCATGTCAGAGAGC